GCTAAAATGCGCAGTTGAGGGTATATAAAAAAAGCCCACCTGGAACACCTGCAGACAAGGCTCTGAAATCAGGCTCAAGGTCGTCGAGATTTAACCTTGATGGACACCTCCTATGGGCCGATGGATTGCCTCCCTTGTGAACTCTGTAACCGTCCTAAGAGCGGTTAACTTAACGAACTGCGTGACGAATTCATGTGGGTAGACGTCTGTTTTGACTCTGAGACACTGGCTGATTTGCATAAATGTACTCTTTTGGACGCCTTACCGGCACTCACGTCTCGTGTGAATTTAAAATGCCTGAGGTATCCACAATTTCGGAATCCGAGTGCTCTCTGATCTATTTTCCCGGGCTTGTCGTCTTCCACTTGTCCCAAGATGCACCACTGTTAATGCCTCGTCTACGTGGAGCGTCGAAGAACATCGCCAAATTCCGGCCCTATTCTCGAGTTACGCTGGCCTACCAGGACGCGAACTTTTTAGTGCCGTGTGTGTTTGTTTAAGTATAGCGCCAACGACCTGTGTGTTTATGCACCTCGCTGAACCAACTTGACCTCGAAATTCACTTAAACGTTCATTCTCCACGTTTAACCACCCTCCGCACGCATTTCACATCACTGACCGAAATCCGCACAAAACATCAGTAATACGACAGTTTTAAATGTTGAGTGACTTCTAAACTTGGTGCACAATTTAGAAAACACTTCAAATGCAACGCTTTTCCACGAAGGCGATAGTGAACAATACTAGCCTCAGCATTTTCTAACGATTAACATGTCCCATTTCAGCTTATTAGTTCAAAAATTTCGTCTTTTTTACATCAAGAAAATGCTTTTTCACCTGCGCGTGTGCATTTACTGCTCAAACATGTGAAAAAACGTGAGTCATTGGTGTGCCAACATCGAGACCTGAGTGAATATTATCAGACCCAGTGACAGTATAGGATGAACACCCGCGCTAACCCCGCGGGTTGAGGCTCCCCTATGGCTGACGAGCACGCCGTGAAAAAGGGGACGTGTGACCACGACTGCAACGACCAGACTAATGGACGCCAATCAAGACAAATCATCACAAAATGTGTTTGCTCCAGAAAGTCGTCAAAGGGAAGTCCAGGTGACTGGTTTCTCCACCTGAAAGGGTTGGTTATTTCCATAAATACTAAAGCTAAATTCCATGTGATAGTTACGCCCCACATCAACATGACAATCGATCTGGTGATATAAGCTATCATTGTCTCCTAACAACCCCTATGCTTACCTGGCGTTCCCAGCCAAAGTCGGTCTAAAAACCATAACCGAAAACACTCATTTACGAAATGTAACTGCCGGTGATTTCTGAGTTTGTTCTCTCGGAGCACAGATGGTGCATTCCCAGACCATGACGGAATTAGCTTGACGGCCGTAACACGTTGACGACCATTGGTTAGCGTCACCCCATTAGCTATCATGGCAAATTTACCAAAAAATGGTTGGTATTGCCGCAATCATCACCTCAGGTGAATTTTCGTTTATCTTATTGGTTCAACGCCGGTTCTTCAACCTCCTGATTTCCACTGATTCTCATAGTTAACGCACTAATGACACGATCTTACGTGTTGGAACTATAAAGACACATGAATCACCATGATCCATCAAACTACTGTCCAATCGCCTTCTGCCGTCTCATCCTTTCCATAAATTTTTGAGGATAACCTGTGTAAAACGTCTGTTCTTCCGGACTTCCCTAGTTATTCTCCGATTCCTGGGAGTACGTTGGTTAGAGCTTAATCTGCTGCTGCCAAGATAATTTTCCATTTGAAGTGCTAGTCGACTGGTTTAAATTTGAGCAATGCGTAAGGCCATTGAAAAGGGCATAGAACAGAACAGGAAACTGAAATAAATTCGAACCAAAACGAAGTATTTTTACATAAAATGACAAGAAACCAGGAAATATACAGAGGATATCGCGTCGTAACGGTAACGAGTTCCGACTCATTATTATTAATATTAACATTATTATCACGGGAGTGTAGAAAATACAAAAAAAAACACAATAAAACTCAGTGATTGGTTGTTTCCGGTGGGTAATATAAGTCACTTAAATTGGTCTGGTGGTCATCTGGTTTTGGATAATTCTAATCCTAGGACTGTGCATGGCATTCCTGACGCCGTTATCTTCGCTTGCACTGAGGTGGACGATGATGACGCGTCCGTGTTCGTAGCTCGAACCCGCTGACCTATCACGGCGCACCAGGCCGACAACCTGCACCCATTGGCTGCTCAAGGTCGCACTACTCGCCGGCTGGGTGAGTACGAGGTCACGGAGACTTGACTCGCAGGAGGCGGAGAGCTGGGCCAATTGCGTGCACTGCGGCAACAGCCAGACACGTACGCACCCCGACGAATCACCGGTGGCCAGAAATGCCTCGGGCTTGTTCGTCTGGCGTCTGGGGCGGTTAAGCAGACGAATACAAGTGACGGTGTCCGCCGAGTAGGCCCCCGTGACTCGAGAATACGGCCGGAACTTGGCGTGGACTCGTGCGGCGATGTTCTTCGACGCGCCATTCTCCGTGGCCACGCACCGACGCACCACCACGCAGCCCGACTCGTCGCCCGAGCACAGCCACGTGAACCGGCCGTTTTCGACCGCGGTCGACTCGTTCGTCGCCAACGCGGTGATGGGGATGGCGCGAGGATCGACCGGTAGGTGCGAGAAGTCGTTTAAAATTGGACCATCCATTGGCACGGGGTCGCTCTGCACTGTGCAATAGACAGTGCCTGATTGCACATCCCAGATGTGCAAGAATCCACGACTATCGCCTACATTTAGAGGAAAAATGTTCACATTTACACCACATTTCCCTCGGCTATTTGCGTTCACACAAGTGCCCACCTGTAACGCCGTAATCCTCCGTGAGAAAAGTAGTTCTACGCAGATCTATGGGGTGCTTTGTCAACGTAGCTGAAATGTGCGGATCGGTGGCAATCACTGGATTCGGCTTTGAAGCTACTTCCTTGGAAACGGCGGACATGTCGACGGTAATGCAGAAGGAGTAGGTATTGACGGCAGGACAGGACCAGCGCAAAAGGACTTTCTCTTGACTCGGACTGAGGAGAGGTGGCAAGCGTTTGGCGTTCGATGGCAGGTAGCCCTTGGTACGCCACGACGTCTTGATCCTCAGTCGACTCTGGACCACGAATAGCTTGAGAACCGGCGACCAGAAGTGGAGAGAAGCGAAGGAGTCCCTGTCGTCTGCCAGTGGAGCAGCCACTATGAGGAAAAGGTCACCGAACGGGAAAACTCCCCAGATCGTTGACGGCAACTGCACCGCGGCTGACGGCAGCTTGGGACTGAATGGATGCAACTGGGCTAGGTTCTGGTCGTCCGCGAATAACAGTCCAGCTTCCTTGTGAAGCGCCAAAAACCCACGCGTCTCTGACGCCGTCGAACGGGTCTTCTGTCGCGAGAAAATCTCCTTGTGGCAAATACCATCCTTGGGAACAAAAAATTAGTACCAAATCTGTGAGGCGGCACGTGACTGAGGGCAGGTTCAATCGTGCTGATCTTCTAACGGTAGCATACCGATGTAAAATTTGTCATTTTAGTCTTGTTTTACTGATCTAGTGTGGCCGCCGAGCGCCACTTTGAAGTTGTTAACTCGGTGAGCAGTGCTCCGCGAAAGTCAAACTCGATTTGTTACACCTCCTAGCGCGAATGTGTGTGGCTAATCGGTCTAAGACCACACACAGCCACACTTAACATGGGTCGTAAATGAATTTTGTGTGTAGATTCGTTAAGTGGACAGGAGCCATTTAAAAGGGGCCTCAACACACTAACCCTTAACGTGGAACAAGGGCATCAGAAGCCCGACTATGCCCCCTCGACCAAGTCCAGACCGCATGGTTCACGCCTCAAAACCTCTGATCACACCACCCTGCCTAATCGTGGAATTCTGCCTCCGGCACCCGCGATATTGTTTTGAGCGGGTTAATTCAGCGCGCTAGTGGATTAAAAGCACGTCGGCTGCATTTGTGCTTTGATCACAAAGCGGGCGGCAAGGGAGGGGGGGTGGTGCAAGTACCACTGCGGTCAGAGGGCGTTGCCTGGTGCGTGCGCGCCACTGTTATGTTGCGAGAATGCATGTGTGTGTGTGTGTGAATGCATAAATCGCCGGCAGACTGACGAGGTGACACAGGAGGCTTGAGGGAGGACGACCACGACCGCCAGCAGTTTGCGTGATGACACCCACGTGACTAGACGAGTAAACTTAACATGCAACACAGGGCGGGTACACAGGGCGGGTTTTTGACATCCGCAAAGCGAACTTTGATTGCTACCCTCAGAGCGCAAATTTGGCAATGTTTTGACAGTTCGCATACACTTGTGGCACCCCTAACTCGCTGACAGACCTAACTTAAAGGCCAGCTGACAAGTCGACAATTAAATTGTTGGTTTCGTGGGGTGGAGATCGGTTCAAAGAGCCGCTAAATGAGGGAGATTACAGAGACGACGGATGACTCATTGATCTCCAAGAAAGTAGAATCTACACCCACTTTTGATCCTTCCGGAAGAAAGTACGCTGGTGTAGCTGATTGGTGTTTAGCCCTTGTCTGAGTGGTACCTCTCAGACTGAAATTGGCAACTCTTACATTCTATTTTTCACCGATTTTTTCCTTCGAGCTGTTAAAGTATATTTAATATTGGAATATTTTCGTGGTTTTGAGGGGGTCGTATGCGCGGTTTCAGAACACCAAGCGACAATCTCTCAAAATAGCAGAGATTAAGGTGGCAACTCGTGAACAGCACATTCGATGGCACTGCATTTCATACGATTTACAACTAGGAGTTCTTCTGCAGCATGGCAGTCAGTTTGTAGTGCTCTTGTTGCCGACGCTGTGTTGCTTATGAAACGAGTAATTACTGGTACAAACGTTTTGAAAGTGGTGAGTTCGATCTTAGCGACCAGCCGCGACCCAGACAGCAGCCTCGAAAGTTTGAAGGTGTAGAATCACAGGCTCTGTTGGATGAATACTCAACCAAACCGCAACAAGAGCGTCCGGCTCAGTTAGGAGTCGCCCAAACAGCTATTTCTAGTCGTTTGCACCAAATGAGAAAATTCAACAAGTTGGGAGTTGGGTCACCCTCCACCGCATGTTCTGACCGAACGCATCCTCCTTGGTCAACGTATGATCACACGCCTTTCAGTGCTTGCCCGCCGACACAAAAAAGAACTTGTGAAAAATCACTACGGGTGATGAAAAGTATACCTTTTTTTGTTACAAGGACCCCAAACGTAAAAAGGTGTCGTAGCTAGATGCCGGGCAACCCAATGCATCGAGGCCGACACAGGACATCCCACTTGAAGAGGGTATTTGGTATCTGTGTCTGGTGGGACATGAAGGGTGTAGGACGGTGACTGCGTAACGCAACAGTCGACAATTGGACATACTGAGCAAGGAACTTGATCAGAAAGGATCAGTAACTGGGCAAGGAAGCAGTCAGGTCATTCTGCTGAATGAAAACGCTCGACCACCTCAGAAGACCCTCTTGTGTCCAGACATCAAGGACTAATTGTCCTCTAGAGAACGAATAGCGTGCGACTTCTTTGTTTACAAGTGTCAAATAGGCTTGCGTATGGCTTTAGCATGGAATTGCCTACGTCGTGGCCATCCAACAACTCCAAGGCACCACAGTGCAGACAGCAGTATCGTTACGGCTACTAGATGAAAGTCGGCGAGTGTACAGCTTAAAATAACGAAGTAAAAAGGACAAATCAAGTAAGAAGGGGGTCCGGTGGTGGTGCAAGATGTAGGCCACTTTTATCCAATGGCGTAACGCAAAAAAATCAACACTCACGTGTGTATTCCACTGCTTAACGGAGATGCCGTGATTGGTCGAGAGGGTAATAACCGATTCGCCGTCAGGTGTGACGAGAATCTCCTCAATATCGTCCGTATCGTCGTACTCACTCAGGCTGTTCGTCGACCCGGCGTTAATCGGTGTCGGACCAATCACACTGACCGGCCTTGTGAAGATGAAAGCAAGAGAGCGCGATTTGATTGGTTGAAAAAAAAGCATTTTTTGGAAAAAATTAATCAGTTCAGAAAAACATTCTTGACGTGTGGCACATCATGAGGTCAACTAAAGAGGTGTCGTTCTCGATTAATGCAAAAAAACGACGCTCTGTTTACACCACTGGACGTTTAAAGGCTCATTCAGATGTTCTAATTGGTAAACTAACCCACTATCTTGCAAATAGTGCCACTGAAGACATCGACTGCTTATCTACAGCTAAATTTGCAAATAAACGTTGAAACGACCGTAATTTGGCTGTGTCCGTAATGCAAGAGAAAAATATGTTTCAAGGCAACATTTCCAGTAGTGGATTGGAAGCACCGTCAAGCAGTCCGTCTTCGAAGCTTATTGGATGGATCTTTTGGATCTTCCCAACCACGAACTACCCAACAGGAACTAAAACCAAAAGCGACTTGAAGGTGCGTACCGATTGAGTGGCTGAAGAGTCAGCATCCTTGCTCGCCAGAGGTTGTCAACTGGTTCCGTCGGGCTTGCGCTGTTGGCAGTTGTGTCTACAGAGGGAAAAAACGGCGCTAAATCTGCTTTCATGTGTTGGTGCAGTAGCCGTGGAAACTATGCAAATTAACCAGGTAAACAGATCTCGGGTTGCACTGTGCTCGTTAGACAGCCCGCGTAAATGCCATGGAAGTCAGAGAACTCAACAACCTAAGATCTCTGATAATTTGCTAAAGGTTAGCACCACTGAAAACGGTAAGATGCCAGACAGAACGCAGGCACAGCTGTTAGTGATGAGTGGTTGTGCCGAAAAGACCAAAGCACCGCACTTACTGGCTTTCATCCGGTAAACACTGGAGGGTAACAAATGCCCATTGGTCTTGAGGGGTCGTGCGGCGTCGTCTGTGGTCAGCCGACGTGTCGTCGACGACGAAAGCGGCGCAGGCGACTTGGTCATGCGCTTGATGGAGACGTAGCCGCGACGCCACGTGCCCTTGATGTCGGGCTTCCTGCGCCGACGCACTCGAAGACACATCCAGACGACCAGCAGTGTCATTAGGAGGCCCAGGACGACGCAACCGACGATCCAAAACCAAACAGCGACCGGCAAGTCCCCCAGTGTCGTAGTGGCTGTCACGATAACACATGAAAGTGCAAAACAAACGACTTGTTGTATGAGACCGAGACTCATGAAGAGGCGAAATCCACGATAAACGAGACTAAAATTCTTGAACTTGATTCTGGGCAAACCGTGTCACCATGTTGAATTGACCGTTCGGTTAGGAAATGCCCGATTATTAAAAGTTTGGGGTAAATTTAAACGTTTTTTTCAAGAACTAATTCATAAAATACAAAACGACATTAACGGGATGCAACTGCAGAGGATCACGTAGTGTTGGGATGCTTAGTCAACCAACCACTTGAATTATCGATTTTATCAGGGAATTTCGGACCAATCAGTGTGTAATCTCCAGTGGGTTTTGGAGGGGCGTGTTGATCGTTACAGAGAGTTACGCTACGCGGGTTCGGGTCGCAGATCGGAGCCTTATCAACTGGTGACCGTGACACCGAACAGATTCTACCCCCTACCAGTTGGTAGTCTGGGCTCCACCGAAACGACGTAAGTAGAGCCCTCACTCTGGCACCAAGTCCACTCCACACACCTCGAGATTTCTTCCCAAACCAACTTCTTGGGTTGCTAGACAGCGTGTTTTTCAACTCACCCGAATCGTGGAGAACGATGACCGGTGTGAGGGAGTTCAGGCGGACCCAGTAGAATCTACCTCCGGAGAGATCAAACCTGTTGTTCAGTCGATAAATGGTATTCGGGGTGTCGTAGGCTTCCACAAACTTCGGTCTGATCATTTCGGCGTCCGTTACCAACCAACCTGCGGTAAAGACGAAATTGTCATCGTCCAGCTTCAATTATGCTTTAATTTTGAGTTTCATAACCAATGAACATGTTCGGGTTGTTTAAATTGACAGAACGCGGTTATCAACACAAAATGGCTAGCCAATTAGCAATTGATCAAAAAAACTGCTCAAAATCCCTTTCAATCAATTCAAAATGTAAAAAAATTCGTATTTTTGGGTTCTACTATTGACAAAAAAACAACCAAGATCTCAATTGAAGCGGGAGCTTTCTCCTTGAATTTGAAGGCAACATTCATTATGAGGTTCTCGTGGAAGATCCAAATGTTCAACAAACTGCCTTATCAACACAATTTGGGCAAAGCCACGTTGGCGACGTACTGCCAACCTGCCACAGCAGGAGAGTTAGAATAGCAAACTTATCAATTTAAACGTTTCAATTAAGAGTTCATGCAGCATTGCCCGCTTTCTCCAGACTTGTTTTCGTCCGCTAACGAACAATTTGGAAGAAATTCTTTTTAGTACCAACGTAATCGGGGTTGAAGCCTACAGATATCTAACGCAGAGATGCCATCAAACGGGTTGATGACTAATAAATGGCACATAACATCGACGAACACAATGCTGATTAAATTGTATCTTGGAATCAATAGGGAGAAAACATTTTCTTCGATGTGACAGGGAAACCAAATCCGACCAAAAGTGCCTTTTCTAAAAATTTAGTGTGCTGGTGATCGGGTTTTTACGAAAGAAAAAACTAAGCGGCAGGTTTCGTCAACCTAAAGCAAAGGCACATTTAGAAGACAGCCACACTCGACCAGCACCAACCGATCCACATGTGCTCTCATAGATGATAAGTTAGCAGGTCAGAAATGTTGGCACGAGGGAATTACGGTTTGACTGGGTTGTGAGGCGCTTGTTTAAACCCACTCAACGTCGTAGAAGACCCATTGTCAACACTGACCACCAGCTTCCCAGCCAAACCTGGAGCCAAATCGCCTAGACTACAGCACAAAACCAACTTACCTCCGATAGCTCCGTCGAATGCGTCGTCACCGTTGGACCAAGCTCCGAGGGTGATTACTTGGAAGGCTGCAGTGGCCTCTTTTTCATCTGCAGCATCCGGTTCTACCGCTGTGCTACCTACAGATGTACCAAATAGAAGACGTCAAGCTGACATACACAGTATTGTAGCTCTCTTTTTAACAAAATTTTAGGTTTTTTTTTCGAGAAGAATGAATAGAACTGACAAGATTAGAGTGAAACAGGAAGCTTAAGAAGAGGGACATGAGGGTACCAAATTGGCCCAAAAGGAGGACACGCTAGTGGCTAAACCAACGCAAAACAAGGTGGCTTCGAAGTACCACCCCAGTCCGCTAACAAGCTTGGAATCTCCCTATCACCAAGACGTTGAACCAACCTTTTGTTGCGCAAGTGCTCTTGACGCAGCCAGTTTTGGCATAAAACATTTGTGCATTTGCATAAAGAAGGCATATTTCAAATGCAATTTCAATCAGCATGAGAAAGTTGCTTTGTAAGCTCGTGGCCAAGTGCTTGCCGTCAAGATGTCCGACTTTTCACCGAAAAGAACCAACTTTTGATGGTATGCTGTCGGGAATCTGAGAGATTCACAACAATCAAGGTATTTGGGGGCAAATTTGTGTTTGCTCAGAAGCACACACCGTTGCCATCCAAGCCACCGGCAAAGTAACGCCAAGCATCGCACGTCGGCGGTGTTGACGCGCGAGGATAGAAGGCAATTCCATCGACTTTTACGCGGAGGAACGCTCCAAGGAGCTCCAGGTGGACAAGGTGTGGTGCACCGTCGTTCGGTGCAAGCTGGGTCGTCTGCCGATTACATGGATCGAGGCGAGTTCGAAACGTGGAATCGTTCTTCCAGACATAGAACAATTCACCGCCAGTCTAAAAGTCAGATATTTCTCAAAGTAATCGAAAGTGCGCAGAATTAACACAGCAGAGGTGCGCCATCTTGACCTTTGATTCAAAACTCGTTCAAAATTGACTTAACAGGTAATAAAAAACGGTAACCAGTGGGAGTAATTAATTTTGCAAAGAAGAAAATGGTTGCCCTAGCCCAGTAGCATAAAACCGTCGTGTCCTCAAAGTAATGAGCTTTCAGGAGACCTCATTTGAACTGTTTCTCTTTCAAGCCAGAAATTGGTAAGATGAGGTCAGCAAGGCAGAGATTCGGAGAGTACGAAGGGAGGCATTGGTGGTTGTTGTTGTTGTTGTTTAAATCGATAAATTTCGAAGCAGCCAATCAACTGCCAGACACATACACCGGAACCTTTCTACGACCTTTTCTTGAATTTGCCAGGTCAGAGGCGTAGACTGAGACGAACGCCGACTTGGGCCTCAACCCCAGTTACCTCGAATACCGTAGTGTACGCCTGTATTTAGTTGTTGCCAAGGTAACACTGGCAGTGCCCATCGAGCGTAAACCAGTAAAAACAAAATTCATCCTCCTGCCACAACAAAACTTTTGCAAAAACGATGTGATCCAGCGTAATCTGGTGATCGTTTATGGCTAGAACACGTAGTGACCTTGACTTAATACGTATCCTATCCGTTCTTTATCGATTAGTTTTCTGAGTTTTTCACACAATACAAAAAGCCGTACTTAGCATGTCTTTTGACTCTGATGGCTGACTGGATGAGTCATAACCTACACCACCTTAAACACGGTGACCCCAAAAAGTCAACCCCAACCTTGGTGAAAAAAACTTGCGTACCAGGACGAGGCCAAAGACGGGTGTTCCTGAGCTACCTACAAAAGTGACGAGCGCCATATCGCGGCCTGGTGGTTCTTCAGGCACGGATCTTTGAATTCGTCCTTGAGAAGCAACCTTCCGACCGATCACCGGGTGTCGGAAGATGAAGCGAAGCCGAACGCGTCCATTTACCAGTTGGCTGAAGCTAGCAAACGCTTCCTGTGCCGGTCTTGTGGAGGATTTGTCTTCGTTTTGTGACATCCACCCGACATGTTCTGAAGGCAAACAAAGGAAGAATTGGACTAGCAGACGACGCAACCTCGTGAGTCAAAAAAGCCCTGCATTTTGTCGACTGACGTACCTCGAGTGCATGTCAAGCCCCAGTAGAGCGTTTCAGAGCAGTCACAGACAAAGTCGCCGCTTGATGCCTGCACACACCCTCCACCATTTTCGCACGGAGGGTCGCAGGCAGGCGAGGCAAACGTCCGAATTCTTTGCCGTGGTGAAAGAGGCGCCAGACCAGAAGACGGACTGATCTCGACGGGTTCTCCTGGACCCGCATCCATCACGCGGGGCTGTTCTTCCACTCTAACCGGTGGTTTTATCGAAGGTCGAGTCGTTGCCGCCGTCGTTAACGGTGGCGGTGGCGAACTCACTGTCACCTGAAGTGACCTCGAAGGTGGTGCCGCGGTGGTTGTGGTCGATGCAAGTATTTGAGACTCTTTACACACACGCCAGGGGTCCTCACACCGACAGCTAGGTACAAGATTTGGCAAAGAATGCGGTTTAGTAACGCAAAACACAGCACATCATCAGACCACATACATACGGGGGTATAAATTACAGTATGTTGGCACCTTATTTTCGTACGCGGGACTCGAATCCGCGTTGGTGCCAACCAATCCAAATTCGCCTGTTGGTTTGTTTCCTTGGCAATAGAACAGCATGAAGAATGCGGTGCTAGGGAATTATTCATCGTGGACACACACACACCCTCATTCGTTAAGCAGCAAATTTGGCCTGGGCTAACAACTGTTCCCCGTGGGGATAACTGATTTGCTGATCGTAAGATTTCTGGCTGGTTTACGAGACCCAGATGGCATCAATAGCCCCATGACATTTGCGGTTACAATATGGGGCCAATTTAGCACACACACACAGCTAACAATGCCAGCGCTGCATGACTTGACTAAAGGAGGAAAAAAAAGGGAAAAGACAGCCGATGGGGAGAAATTTGTCTGCGTAAATGTTCACGTACATGCCAAAAATAATCGAATCTAACTTGATAAAAATCTTGTGAAGGCCAGTAGAAGTCTTTTGCTGCCTCCGCAACAGCCTTGATGAAAAGGTGCTTTAACCGCACGCTAATTTTTCACTAGGATCAAAATCTACAGAGCGAAACTGACTTAAGCGGAGTCTTGTTAATGTTCGGTAGCGCCACTGAAGTATGTATTAGCGAGGCGGTGGGTACAGATGACTAACAGGTGAATTGTAATGTTTTGTGTGTACACAACCATAAACTTTTAATGCAAATCACATTCACAACATAAATGCTTGTCTCACATTTCCTTTGAAGAAACACAGCACCCAGTTGGCAAAAAAGTGAATTCGAATTTGTGGTGTGAATGAGGATCAATAATTGAGTGATTTTGATTGCTACATTCTCCAATGAAATTTCGCACTGACAGAAATCCTGACCCTTATCAAAAATCACACGAAATAGGTGTGATTTCAGGTGGAAGGTGTGCTCATCTGAGCTCTGAGATCTTCCACATTTATGGAGGGGCCGTCTGAGCATATCGTAAAGCAATGTTTCCACGAGTTACACAATATGAAAGACGTTCCGACTCGTCTTGGTAATCGTTGGCATTTTTTGTTGATTGCTTCCTTCTCCAGTGTCATTAGTAGTTGATAACCAGCACCTGAATTGGTCCATTGGTTAATGGAAGCAGAGTAAAACACACTTCTCGCAGCACGATCTGGAAGGTGTGAATCGACGCGGCTTCATCACGAGTCAACTATGATCACTGTCAACTGATGTCATTGAAGCTGGTCCATTTGTGTATCCAACTACGAATCGGTTTAAAACAAAGGCAACTGTGCCAAGTGAATGAACTTTGATGCATATGTCGGAATAATTTGAGTGACTTTTAATTACTGTAGCTTGGGAAACATTTGACCTCTCGGAAATCTCCCTCGCACTGCTGATCAAACTAGATGGGGTTTGATTTGGTCACCGTTGTCTCCTTTTTGTGGTGAACTTTGAGTAAACAACCCCCAGAATCCTCCCGCTGTTCTTAGCGATCAACTTCAAAAACTTAGCGAATCCCCTTGCAAAACAATGAAAAATTAAACCATAAGTTAAATCTTTCCCAACAAATCCAGGTCGAAATGAAATGTTAGTCATTTTTAAAGTAAACTGAAGGAGATATCGATCGAATAACATAATGTGAAGACTCATATCACTTGCAGAAGTTATTCAAAACAAACGAAACGCTATTTATTTGTGAAATGTAGCAAATGTCACCAAGCCCAGACGTTTGGGGCATCAAAGAGCGGGTTTAGAGAGCACTCAGATTTCGGAATTGTGGATACCTCAGGCATTTTAAATTCACACGAGACGTGAGTGCCGGTAAGGCGTCCAAAAGAGTACATTTATGCAAATCAGCCAGTGTTTTAGATTAAAAACAGACGTCTACCCACATAAATTCGTCACGCAGTTCGTTAATTTAGCCGCTCTTAGGGCGGTTATAGAGTTAACAAGGGAGGCAATCCATCAGCCAATAGGAGGTGTCCATCAAGGTTAAATCTCGACGACCTTGAGCCTGATTTCAGAGCCTTGTCTGCAGGTGTTCCAGGTGGG